TTGAAATCCCTCTGGGAGTGGTGACTCCACTACTGCCCTGGGCAGCCTGTTCCGGTGCCTGGCAAGCCTTTCAGTGAAGAAATTTTTTCTAATATCCAACACAAACTTCCCCATGTCCAACTTGAGGCCATTTCCTCTTGTCCTATCACTTGTTACTTGGGAGAAGAGATTGACACCCACAGCAAATGAGGTCAGGATTTCCCTTGGGCATCTCTTTGTTTCTAATGAGCATTTTAATATTGTTTCTCGTAGTAACTCAAGAAGAAATTGTGCTCCCTCGAAGGAAAACATGGTGAGTCTTTACTTTTGGAATATCTCTTGACTTGGAAGCAAACAGTTGTTAGACAGCTAAGTGTAAATTTAAAAAAACAGAAAATTCAGATTCCTGTGTTCCTCGATGCAAAGTCCCACCAGTGGTTTTCCTGCTGACTGACTGGGAACTCTAGGAATATTCTTGACTCTTACTCTCTGCAGACTGTGTGTGCTCCCTTCCTCACCTAAACACTTCCATTGGCCTTTCCTTGTTTGCTTAAAAGAACTAAAGTCTTAAGGATCTACAGTTTTGTGTTGTTTTATTTTTCTTGCAAGGACGTATCTTGGAGAGGGCTCTTGAGAGGAGCATTCTGGGGAATTCTTTGTGTGTCTCTTCCCTATTTTTTTTTTGATAATGTATTACAAGGGCAGGAGTCGTAGCAGGAAACACAGGTGCTCTTCTGGTTTTCCTCGAAATCTTTTCTTTTTCCTGGGGTGGTTCCAGAACTGAGACCATTTTTGCAGTTGAATTTTTCCTCCCTTTGCAAAAAGTGTTATTTTCTAAGGGCAGCAAAAGCATTATTTCCTATAACTGAAAATTGTTATGGGTCAGGACAATCCTGTGCTCGTTCTCTGTACAGTGTAACCCATAGCATTCAAAGTCTGCAGCTGAGTATTAACCAAAGCTCCTCTGTGTTTAGGGATAAGCTGGCAGTGCTCCAGACCTTGGCTTCCACTGTGAACAGGGTGAGTAGTACTGTTGGTCATGGAAATAGGTTCAGGTTGTCCATCTCATGCAATAGCCTCGTGCCGAGGAGGCTCTTAATTTCTACTCTGGCCATAAATCATAGAAGGGACTTTTACATCCGGTTTTTATGGGATTTTCAGTTTTGCTCCACATGTTTTCCTGTGTCCTTAAAGCCTCATTCTCATGCTGAGAGCTGCAGTTACCAGTGAAAGCTGCAGTACTTTAGTAAGACTTTTGTTAACATCAGGAGCAAGTTCCTTTACTAGTTCAGCCTCCCAATCCAGAATGTCTCTTCCCAATCTCAGTCCAGAAAGCAAGCCTTGCAAAGTGCAGTGAGTGTCTGCTCTTGCTGGGCAACAGCTGGAAATGCTGTGATGCCATTCTTTAATCTTGTCTATCTTGACTTCTGGGAATTGAATCAAAACCTGCAGGTCTTCTCAGCTTCCCAAGGCTGTTACAGTTGGGGTCCTACTTGATTTGCAGAGCACTTGATGCTTGCCATGTTATAGTTTTGTTGTCACCATGTTAGCCTGCATGTGTGTGTAAAATGGAAATACTTTAAAACTATTTCCAAACAGATTAGGCCTTTTTGAATACGGGGAACTTCTGTAAGATGTGCATCAGGTGGTGGTTATGGTGGAAGTATTTATTGTGCCTTAAATTCCATGAGGCCTGTGAACATAACTGGAAGTCTTTCAGTGCTGGGTTCTTCTTCCTACAGGACCCCACTGCTGCTCATTATATATTCCAAGATGACCCTTTCCTTATGCCAAGAAATGCAGCAAATTCTGTAAGTATTTCCTTTCAGATCGTTGATAACTTTCCCCCCCACCTTTGTCTAGGCTATGAAGACTCTTATCTAATTGGAGCCTGGGTTTGATTACAAAAGAAAATGGAAGTGTCAGATTTTTTCTTCAGAATTTTCTCTCTAAAATGAGAGATGCTTTTGAGCTTGAGGTAGTAGTACAGGATTTGAGATGTGTGATATAGAACTGTGTCTCTTGACTAAGCAACAAAGAAGTACAGTGACATTTAAGGAACAGACATACTCACATAAATACCAGAATGTTTACCTTGAATGCTGTCTCGTGCCTGTGATTTCAATAAGTTGAAAACAAAGCATGAGTTTAATGTGATCCCATCAGAATGTTCAGAGTTACAGAAAATGTTTCTCCTCACTCTTGGCCTTGTAATTTGTGTTTATTCATGTCATTCTCTCTAATTTCACTGCAGCGTCTGTATTCGTTGTCAAAGGAGTCCGGGAGAAATGCTGCAAAATACATCATTCAGAACTTCCCTCAGTATTTTGACAAGACTTTTGCAGAGCCCAATGTACCAGTAAGCTTTTTGCTTTTAATTTTCATTGTATTTGTGCTTTGGCAGTGAATTCAGGTGTCAGACTGGTCCAAAGCTAACATAAAAGGATGATTTTGAAAACTGGTTTGCAGACTGCTATGAAAGCAGCACCGTGTTTCTATTATGAAGCGAACATTTTTCCTTGGGAGTTCAATATCATATCAGGTTCTTGAGACAAAAGTAGGAAGAGCAAAGTTGTTTAGGTGGCACAAAAGTGAGGGATGAGGATGTGTGTGGTCCTTCATCAGCAAAAGGACTGCTGTTGTTAGGGTGCAAACGGTGTATTGGGTGAAGACTAAGGATATTTGGTTAGTGTTTAAGTGATAGTTCAGGCAAGGTTTGAGCTCATGACTAACTTTCACTCTTTGCTTTCAGTGCTTGATGCCTGAGACTCTTACACCTCAAATTGAAGGAGTGAGTGAGGAAGCTCTGAAGGAGCGTATCCGCCTCAGAAGGGTGAAAGAGTCTGTGGACATGTTTGATCAGCTTGTACAAGCAGGTATGTGGTCACCTGCTGGATTCTGCAGTAGAGCTCTGCTTAAATTGTGCCAAAAATATTTTAGTAGCTGTCACAGGCTGTGGGGACAGTTTTGTGACTGTGTTTCTGCCTTTCACAACCGACTCTGGTCTGGCAAAATGGTTCTCTAGAGTTATTGGAGAATAATCCAATCTTAGCCACTGCTTCTCTTGTGTGTCACTTTGGTGATAGGGAGAACAACTGATTTCTTGAACAGGAAGCAGATGAAATCCTTTTCCTATGTTGGTTTTAAATCTGTTTCATAGAAAGTGAAAGGCATAAAATGATCTTCACAGCAGAGTGTATCCCAGGAGAAGTTCTGTAAAGCACTAGAAATTTCAGACGTTGTTTTGGTCTTATGCTGCCTCACAGTTCTGGCTACCAGCTGCCACTTCCCTCTCCCACCTGATCAGGAAAACTCTACCCTTTCAGTGGCCTCAGCAGAAAAACAAATACTCTTAAGTCAGTGTTAAAATTGTCTCCTGTGATGAGTGGGTTCGTGACAGTGCTGTTGTCACACCCAGTGTTTAGGGACTTGCTAGAGAATGTCCTTGTGTTGAAAGACAGCAAAGTGGTGTAACTGGGTGCCCACATTTTTCTGATATGGCTGCAGAATGTGCTTTTTACTTTCTCTGTGACTGTCGTAAATCCTCGTTTTCTAAAGGTACCCCTGTATCTCTGGAGACCACAAACAGCCTTTTAGATTTGTTATCCTTCTATGGAGATGCAGAATCTACTTCTGAAAAGGAGGAAGAAGCAAAAGAGGATTTGGAAGAACCAGAGGTATGAAAAACCTGTTGATCTCTAATATTTTGTTTCATATGCAGTGGGAGCGTATCAAGATGATGTCAAGTTTTTTGTACTTTGACAACTTGCCTGATAGATGGTTTGAGGGGGGTCACATGCAGTCAGCATTCCCAGAAGATAAGTGTTCTAAAAAGCCAGTGTCTGACCTAGTAACAACAGTGGTTGATGTAAAGCTGAACTAAGTAGATGAAACCCTGTCTTGGCTTAGTTCTGCGGAGCTGTGTTTAAATAACAGTTTCTCCCTGACAGCCTTGTTTTTACAGTTGCCTGCAAAGAAGACATCTAGTAACTCTAGTGTAGATCACCTAGGTAATTTTCTTCCAGTCTGAACCATGTTGACTGGATTTTAATGAAGCTGAGGGCTCCTTGTGTGACATCAGAGTATTAGGTTCCAGGGGACAGTAGTAGATGTGCTGTCCCTGGGAAGAAAGGGTTCTACAGAGTATTTGCTATAGTCTAATGATTCCCACCAACTCCACAAATACATGTAATTTATCATGTTAGTACGTTTAATAACATAAATGTTCTTAATCTAGTTACTGTTTCCTGAACATTCTAATAGAAAATATAATAGAAGTTATTTTTATGTAACCTATTAAAAAACACCTTTGGTAATATAAATTGCTGGTGAACTTCTGTGTTGTTGCCAAATCTAGTCATTTGATGTTTAATCACAGTTTTGAGCTCTGAGAAACTTATTTCTGCAAAAATCTCTCCAGGTGAATGCATCAGAGCAGAAGGCTCCAAAGAGACAATTCCAAAGAGGTTCACAGTCATCTGGCCCTAGATGGAGGTATAGAAAATGTTGCCAATATTCCCGTATTCAGTGGGTTGTGCACATGCATCGTTGTTACTAAAACAGAATTCAGGTCTTCAGCAGGCCATGCTCACAGGTGTTACTTGTTAAATACATCTGTGTTAAAGTGTTGATGGAAATCTGATGATTGTAGAACAGCTCAAAGTATCACAAGTAATTTGGTATTTGACTGTCAGCCACTGGGGGTACAGCCCCTTGTTTTGCTCTGCATGTTGAATCCTTTTCATAAAGTTATCCTTTATTTCGTTCTTCAACATTCGGCTTATTCCTTGATTCTAGGGAGAACAACCATGCTGAGAGGATATTTAAGATAATGCCAGAGAGGAATGCACACTCCTATTGCACAATGATCCGTGGGATGGTGAAGGTAAAGTTATTCTTCAGTGCTGAGGGATTTTTTTCAGCTTGTGAAATCTCAGTCATAGAGGTTCTTTATTTTTATCGTCTTTTTCAGCATGGGGCTGCTTCTAAAGCTTATGACATGTACATAGACATGCTGAATGAAAGGCACAAGGGTGAGTGTCTCCTGGTTCTTTGTGATCTCCTAAGTACCAGAACCCCGTGTTGGGTCCATGAGTGTTTGTCCCATGGCAGTGATGATTGGCGCAGGGGTACGGACCTCAGCTGGATCATGGGAGCTGAGTGCAGACTGGTGGTTTCAGTGCAGCTGGCGTGTGGCCGGCTCACTGCAAACAGGTCTGCACGAGACTTTGCCAAAAGCTGAGCCATGTTGGAACAAGCTGTTTTCTTGTAGACTTAATAAATTGTCAGTTAAAGTGGATTATCTTACATTTTTCCAGCTGATGTGCACACCTTCAACGCACTGATCAAGGCAGTCCCATATCTAAAGGAGAGGTTCATAGAAAGATGGGAATTAGCCAAGGTAAGGAGGGTAGAGCAAAGAGGTGGGGAAGGGGCAAGAGTGTAGGATCTGGGTCTGCTTTACCATTAAAATTTTGCAGTTGCTAGAAAAGCAAGAGCTTTGTCCCAAACTACTAATTTCTTCTGCAAAGGAAGTTCTCTAGTTTAAATATAAAAGCCAACTATGGAGGAGTGGCAAATGTACAAAATCCAGCCTTGCCCTTGCAGAGTGGTTTGCCTTGTGAGAACATACCTGATCCAAGAACTGCTTGGACAGAAAGTAACTGAGGAAATTATACTGGGAGATAAAATCAACAATTTCAGATGAAAGCTCTTTGGATTGTAATTCATGGTGTTGTGATGGAAATGGAATTTTGAGGGATAACATATGGGGCTCCAGTTTTAATGACATAAGATCAGTAAGGAGAAGTAGTATGTAACTATAAAAATTTTCTTGATGTTCTAGACACAATTCTCCAAGATCTGATCCTCTGTAATGTTGTAGCCTTGGGTTTTGGTCAAAGTAACTAAAAATCAGACAGTACTCCCTCAATAAATGATCAGTTAAAGCAAAGTTGGTCACCTGAAGGGGATGAGAAGGACTAGGTTGAGGAAATATGTATAACCTGTCTGAAAGCTGAACTGCAGCCTGTAACATGTGAAGCACTAAGGATTTGGGTATTTTTTTTTAAGGAATTCCTGACTCACATGGCCCAACAGGAAGTGCAACCAAATCTGCTAACTTTTAATGCTTTACTGAAGACTCTGAGAAGATGTGGTGGTGTGGGCAGAAATATGTGTTTAATGGTATTGAAGGAAATGGAAGCACTTGATATAGGTAAGAGTACCAGAATATTTATTATATTCAATGGTTATTATATTCCAGTGCCAACTGCAGGATAGAATAGTTAAGTAGCACACAACACAGGGATTCCTGGTTGGAGGGAAGATGTACTTCACAAGCCACCCAAGCTAGTTCAGGTCTATATATCTGCATCTCTACAGAAAAAAAGCTTTTGATCTAGATAATGCTTTTTTGTTTCAAATAAATGCTGCAAAAACCGAGGAAGTATCTGCTCAACTGATTTGATGTCCTGTGGAGTGTACTGGGCCCCAGTAATGTGCTTCTTGGTAGGCTAAAGACACATTCATGAGCAGAAGGGAAACTAGCTAAAGAAGTACTTTCTGTTTTAATTTAGAGCAGGGAATCCTGGCTGCTCTCCCCATAGAAATGGGATGTTCTAGCTGGTGATCCACTTAGATACCATCTCTCCTCATGGGTGTACATGAGGTCTGCTCCAGCATTAGGGTGGACGGGGAGAGATACTTGAGTAAATTTATGCACGCCTGACTGTGAGGGAAGAGACTGAATTAGAGTCAGGCACAAAGCTCAACCAGGAATGATGAAGTAACTTCAGTGTTTTTGCTTTTCAGAGCCCAGCCTTGCGACGTACGATCATCTCCTCTCGATATTTTACAGAGGCGGTACGTGCGATATCGGCTTGTCCATGGATGTGTCTTGCTCAGCATCTGCTTTAAATGCTTTCCAAATGTCATGGGTGATTGATTTATGGATTAAAAGACAAGCTCTTACATGTGTGGTCTTAGTGTTACCTGTGCAGCCTGATTCTGCTTGGATGGAAAAAAAAAGCTACAGAGGATGATGAGCTCATACAGGGAGCAAATGCTACCCAGTCTTGGTGGGGGCTGGATCTGACCCCAGTGTGTGTGATTTCATGGACTGTGCCACACACAGGGATGAAATTGCACCGGGATTCTCTTTCTGCAACAGTTCTGTGCACTGGAGCTGTAGTGAAAAATCGCTGTGTTAGAAAAGCAGGAACCCAACTGTTCAAGACTCCATGCCCACAGAATTTTGGCTATGGGAAGAGAAGAGGCACAGTAGTGTAACTGCAGTCCTTGTGTTTTAAGAAACGTGAAGGAACTGCTCTGGAGTCTCTCTGGTTGTGAGATTTTTTGTTTTTGTTTTTTCCCCTTTTAAATTTTTTTGTTTCTTCATTAAATGCTTTGCTTTTCCCAGTGCAGCCTTCTAAGAGACAAACTTCCAGCCTATTTGATTCCTTGCTAGAAAGCACTTTTCTCTTTCTAAATCTGCCCTATTCAGCTCTGAAAATCTGGCAATAGTAGGGCAAATCTCAGAGCACACAAAGCTGCAGCTGGTGTGGAGCACCAAGGGAATCATGACACTTGTTTTAAATCATGTTACTTGTTTCCATTTCCATGTTGTATTTGCAGGCTGATGCTCTTCACTAAGGAAGTGATTGGCACAACTGAGATGTGTTGCTTTGTCTCTTTGTCCCACAGTTGATCTTCCCCAATCAGGCATCATCTCTGAGGTGTTAGATGAGGTTGAAAAGAGAAGTTTCACTCCCCAGGACCCTGATGATGGTAAGGTCTTCCATATATCTGACAATCTACACTGGGTAAGCTTGGGTGAAAAGATACCTATGAATTTCAGGTAGCTTTACTCAGCTAGGAAAAACGCATGCATCTTGCTTCTCAGTCCCTTCTGATACCCTTTGGAGACAAAGAAGGACAAATTCCAGTGCCAGAAATCGTGCTGTGCATTGGTGCACTAGCTTCTGTGGGGAAGTAGGAGTGTAAGCCATGTGAATGAGCATTTGGGCTCCATAGAATTAAAAAAAACCCAAGGCTATCTACAAGATTAGTTTAAGGAGGAACATCAGGTAGCAGCTTCCTGATACACATCTGGTGAATGGCAGGTTTTTGTTGTAGTGTGGTGTGAGTTTTCCTATTCTAGTTCTTCCTAATCCTTTTCAGAAAATGTCAGGAAATAAAACTTCATGGAAAACCGAAGCATGGGTCTGTAGAAGGGGTATTAGGTAATTCTACCAGCTTTTTTTTTTTTTTTGATTTTAGGAAAGAATCATGGAAATAGGCAGAATGTTGTACACCTTTGTTTGCTTCTTTCTGCTATGTGTGTTACACTGTTTCTTTCTCTGCTCTAAGCTGTTGCCAGAAGGATATAAAAGCCACCCAACTCCTGCCCCACCAACGTTTCTGCCTAGAAAGTGAAAACCTGCTACAATGCCAAACTGAGACAAATTGAGCTTTCTAATTGAACATGTCTGTCTTCTGGGGGGGATGGGTTAATGAGTTGCTCTATGTCTCCTTGGAAGTTTGAAGCTAACAGACTGTTTTCTCCTTTTCAGCCAACTTTTTTTCCACTGCCATGCAAGTGGTAAGTGCCTCTTCCCTGCCATCAGAATTCCTTAGAGCTCTCCAGCTGTTTAAGAATTGCCTGTGAGTTTTTCCACCCCGTCATACAAGGCTGAGCTCTCAGTATCTCCCATTTTCATCTGTTTTCATCATTTCTTGTAACTTTCCCCCACAATTCTGCAGTTCTCGGCCTGATCCCTTCCAAATTGGTAACTTGCATGCCTGTGATGAATGTGTGTACCTTTGTGAAAGTGAGTCTCAGAGGGATGTATGGCGTGGTATATTTTTATCTTTAAAATCCAACTGGTTTGTTGCAGTGCTGTGATCTTAAGGATATCAAGCTTGCCTATCAGTTAAATGAGACAATGGCAAAGGGAGACAACTGGAAATTCTTGGATGTGGACCGGTTAAATGGCTACTGGTGAGTGAAGTGCAGCTTATGTTCAGCGTCTTGTATTGTCAGCTTGAGTACAAACTAGGATTTGAACATGGAAAACCAGCTGGTTATTGCATGTGCAGCTTGGGAATTGGGTCCCTCTTAAGAACAGTGATTCCTTAAGATTTATTTTCGGTTTTCAAACTTGTCTTGGAGCATCAGTTTATCTCAATACCCATCCAGCAGTTAGACCAACCAGTTGTATTTTCTACAGTCCTTTTGTGCAGTTAGGATGGCAGCTTAGGAGGTAACACCAAAATAACATAATTTCTTAGCGTGGGGACATTTTCCTAGTCAATGCAGTGGATCAAGGACCCAGGCTTGTGTTGTGAACTTGACAAGTAACAAGGTTAATTTAGTTCATTT